GTTGGGTATACGAAGAGGAACTTAATGAAAATATTAATCCAATTTTCTACTATTATTGTACATGTCCATGCGGTTCGAGAACTTTAAGTACTTGCGCACATGTTGCATCAGTGTTATGGTGTCTTGGTCATGCTAGGTACCAGAATAATATGATTTCCAACAACACGTTGACAAAATAGCATCGATGATGCAGCAGACCGATTATTTCCAGAAAATATCGATCTCGGTCCTATAGTAGAAGAAAATTAATTGGTATTACCATCTCGTATTTGCACCTAATACTCAACGTTAACGTCTTGGTTCAGATACGTCAGTCATTTGGTCGTTTGTCTTTAGTTCAGGCTGTTCTTTTAATTTAATATTTGACTTTTGTTTTCTGATATACCTTACAAAGTATCTGAATTTATATCTTTAGTGTTTGTAATAAATTCAGTTGTCCTTTGTAATTGCTATAATTGTTATATTTTTCCAAGTTATGAGAACATTAATAACAATGCCAGAAAAGAGAAAAGAGAATTGGTTGTTGTGAAAATTCTACGTACAGGGTGAGCGAAACTCGATGTCTCGGCTCCATTATGGGACAAGGGAAAAAGATAGGGAAAAGTTGAAAAGAGGTTCTTAAATGGGATATAGTAAGGTCCGTTTTAAGCCCAATTTGCATATTTGTCCATATTTGGAAACTGAGGTAATGACGTCATCGATTTTTTTTTTCGGAAACATACCTATATTTTTACAAATTTAAAAAGAGCTAATTTTTCTGAACACATTTTATAAAATAAAAAATTTGATATCTCCTTCACTTTAAAAATTATAAGCAAATTTGTAAAAAAAGTATAATCAAAAATTCAGAATAGTCACAATTTAAACAAGTCGCCTTTGGAAACAAATAGCAAAGACGTATCTGTCAAATTAAATTAATGGTTGACAAATATTGTTATGTTATTATTTGGCTTTGAAAAATGTTCACGCACAATGAAAAAGTCGACATGTTATTAGTTTATGGGGAATCTCAAAAGAACCCAAGAAGAGCAGTTCAGTTATACGCCCAGAGATACCCCGAACTTGTTATTCCAAGCTTAAAAATATTTGCAAGATTGGAACGCAATTTACGTTCAAATAACAAGGCATTTTCTTCTCGAATGGGAAAAAAATTGCTAAAAGAGTCAATTCTGATAATACTGTTGCCACTGTTTTGCAGTATTTTGAAACCCATCCAAGAAATTCGATTCGGCAAGCCTGTCGTGAGTTGAATTTAAAATTTTGAAGGAAAATGGTTACCACGATTATAAACTTCACAACTTAGAATACTTATCAGATCAACATCAACAACGAAGATTGAATTATATTGCCCAAGTGATGGAAACGTTAGAGTATGAAAATCGATTTTTTCAGCATGTTTTATGGACGGACGAAAGCCGTTTTGTTAGTAATGGTAAGCCCAATAAAAAAAATGAACATTACTGGGCTACTGAGAATCCACATTTTGTCAATCCGATTGAAAACCAAGGGCATTTCGGAATTAACGCTTGGTGTGGTATTATTATTGGGCATTTGATTGGTCCATATTTTTACGAAGGAATTTTATGTAGTGAGCGATACTTGCAATTTCTTCAAGAACAATTGCCTGTGCTTCTCGAAAATTTGCCATTACAGCTTCGAGCAAATATGTGTTTCCAGTATGATGGAGCATAAAGCAAGAATTGTCCAACGATATTTGAATGAAACTTATGGAGAACATTAGATAGGTATAAATGGACCGATAGAGTGGGCGCCTAAATCACCGGACTTGACCCCACTAGATTTCTTTTTGTGGGGAATTTTGAAAAATAAAGTTTACAGAACACCATCAGTTAACATGGAACATTTAAAAGACAAAATCAGAATTGCTTGCGATGAATTATCTAGAGAAATATTACGTAAGGCTTCGGTAAGAGAAGTAAGACGGAAATTGGATAAGTGTTTAGAAGTAGGAGGTGGTCACTTTGAAAATTTGTTTTAGTGATTGACTATGCATACAAGCTTTGTTTCTCTCTCTTGTAAGTAATATATTATTTGTTTCTTTTTTACAAATTTGCTTATAATTTTTAAAGTGAAGGAGATATCAAATTTTTTTCTTTATAAAATTTGTTCAGAAAAATTAGCTCTTTTTAAATTTGTAAAAATATAGGTATGTTTCTGAAAAAAAAAAATCGATGACGTCATTACCTCAGTTTCCAAATATGGACAAATATGCAAATTGGGCTTAAAACGGACCTTACTCTATCCCATTTAAGAACCTCTTTTCAACTTTTTCCTATCTTTTTCCCTTGTCCCATAATGGAGCTGAGACATCGAGTTTCGCTCACCCTGTACATACGTGCTAAACTTGATGTCAAATGCCAAAAATGTAATGATCTCTTTATATAAATAAGTAAGATATATTGAGATAAATGGAGAAATGGGTGGGTGGGTGGAACTCGAAGTGCGGCCACCTCCTCGTGGTGAGTTCTGGGTTGATTTAACATTCAAAACCGGTTTTATTATCTTGTAACTGCCCTAAACCCCTTGAGTTTTAAATCAAGCGAAGAGCTGCACAAAGCTGAATTTTTTTAGTTTTTAATTTCTCACCCCTAAGGTCCCAGCTAAATATGTTATTTTTTCACTAATTTTTATATAGAGTGTAAACCACATAAAAGACAATTTTTTCACACTAGTCTAAATTAATGTTTTCTTGGTAATTTTTGACCTGCCCTATTATACAAGCAGTGCACTATTCCTACAGGGGCCTAACAATTTACGCGGAAAGGAGATCCTAATCTGATATAAATATACAATATAAAGAGGCAATGATCCAGTCAAAATAAACATTTAATCCGATCATTATTCATTTCCCTATATTCTACTTATACCTACCGTATAATGAACTTTTTTTAATGCAATAATGTATGACCCTGTATGTAAACTAATAAGATTTTTTTATTAAACAACTCGCAAGTTAAAAGGCAATTATTTTGCCAACAATTTCAGCATTTTGTTGATTTTTTCCTTTTACATATTCAACCGCAATCACCCTGTAAGTACGATTTTTTTGTCTCTTTGAAAATAGTACAAGGGGTATATTCTTAATCTAAAACAGTATATCAAAATATTTTATATAAGATATTTCTCTTGAAAATATCTATTTTGTCAGTATATATTTATTGTTTAAAATTCATATATTTGGTACATATTAAGTTATATTTGGAAAACTAGTCATAGGATCTAATTTTACCAATAAGAATTTTGAACGAGTACATCGAGTACTATACGATATCAAATATTGAGAGACTTTGACGGTGATATTTTTTTTTTTTTCGGTATTTTAGCTATTTTTGTTCGGTGGGAATACCTACTTTGACCAAAAAAGATTTGCCGAATCATTATTCACCCTGTAAGGTACAATATTTTAATTATAGTAGTTAAGTTTGTATTTTGACTACACAGAATGAGCAAAAAATTTCCAAAAATATTTAAGGGTGATTTATAGTGTCCATTTTAAAGAATTAGGGATTTCTAACTTCAACACCCTCTATTTTAAAATCTAGTCATAGGATACAATTGGGCCCATCGACACTTTTGATGGGGACATCAAGTTATTTAACATATCAAAAATTCAGACATTTTGACGGTACTCCCGTTTGCATAAGAAAAGTGTGTGGTCCTTTTACACTTTTCCAAAAATTTCAATTACGGTTCATTTTAGAGAAATTATGTATAAAAAATATAGAGAATTCGAATTTTACACTTTTTGTCCAATTTTTCAAATACGGACCATTTTAGGAAAATTATGTATAGAACTAAAAAAAAAATACAGAGAATAATATTATAAGCAACTTTTATTTAAAAAATGTTCTTCTTTAAGCGTAAATAACAGATATATTCCAAAAAAAAAGAAGTATGACCGCCTAAAAAGTAACCCCCAGATGTTCCGACTATGCATAAAATCTAATAAGTTTACCGCAGAAAGGATTACAGATTAAATTTAAAATTTGGTGTTTTTCTCTTTATCTATTTTTAAGTTATCTTCAAAATTTGTACATTTTCTCAAATATCTCGAATACATTCCATTTTAGAGAAATTATGTATGGAAGAATTATAGAAAATGACATATCAAATAACTTATATACCAACAGTTTTCTTAAAAATTTTATTTTTTTTACTTTTTTTTTTTAATTTGGTATTAAATAAAAATTAAAGGGAATTACATAACAAGCAGCTTTCATTTTGAAGAATTTTGTTCTGCAAGCGTACATAACAGATATATTTCGTAAAATAGAAAAACGACCTCCTATAAAGTACTCCCAGATATTCCGACTAGTCACATACATGCACGCACGCGCCTTTTATTTTTCTATTCCATGGGCATTGTGTTCAACTCCCATGCTTAAAAAATATTTATTACAGCATTCCTCTGTGCCTTTTCTTTCCATGCGTTTCGACATCTCTGGTCTACTTATTTTAATGTTCTCTTTACCTCTTCCAGCTCTTCTATATCATTTGTGTTGTAATGTAATTCATCTTGCCCCTGCGGGTGCGTATCTCCGTTTGATTTTATTTCATCATATTTACTAGGGTCAAATTTGTGATTTTAATTGTTTCTCCATGCATTTAGTATCTCTGCAGAATTTACTCCATTTTCCTTGCAGTCCTTTTATTAAATTTCAGAATTTTCTGTTATTATTTCTGTACCCTTGATTTTTAGAAGTGGGTAAGTCCACGATTTTTGTTTAGATCTTTTTACTAGTTCTTTCACTACCTTATTTTTTCCAAACCTCTATTTTTTTGGGCTAACCATATCCTTTTTTCCTGTGAGCTCTATCTTGTCCTCTTCTTCTTTCTTGTTATTTTTCTATATCGACACACTAACTCATGAGCTATTATTTCATTTTTAGAACTTGCTATCTGTTTTAGAATGTCCATTGGGTGTTTACTTCTTCTAGTTTTTCTATTTACTTTTTTATCTAATATTAAAATATGTTTTTAGATACCTATGGTTGCTACTTATTGTACTAGCAATAGCCTTATCTATTTATTTTATAATGCAAATGTGGTTCAAATATGACGAAAATCCATTTATAGTAACTTTAGCCACACGAGCACAACCCATATTTTCCATACCATTTCCTGCAGTTACTATTTGTCCTGTAGCCAAAGCGAACAGGACTGTTTTTAATTACACGAACGTTGCCCACAAGTTATGGGATCAAGAGGAAGTAACTCCATACGAGTAAGTAAATATTTTTTTTTCTTACGACCACTTAGGAAAGTGACACATATCACACTATATAGTCCTATGGAAAGTACCCTATATCACACGCGTATGAATAAGAATTTACTTTTCACCCGTGTGCGATTATACTACTTTCCGCATCAGCTGTCACAAAATGTCAAAGGCATCAATTATATTTTGATCTATGTAATGTTCATATTAATACTAAAATCGATATCATTGTTAAATTATTGAAATTGTTGTTAATTAGATTCTAGATATTTATCTTTAACAATTATTATTAAAATAATTTTAAAATGAGTTATGTTTGCTTTTTGTTCTGGTTAAACACATAACCGATTAGATCATTCAATTGATGCGAGGCCTATTAGCTTTATCAACTTTGCCATTTGAGACCTGGCGAGCGACCGCGTTCAAATCCTTGCGGGGGCAGATTTTTTTTTTGTTTTTATTTTATTTTTTTGTTTAAAAAATATGAAAATTGAATAAATACAATTATTATTGATTGTTTTTTTAAATACATTTTAATTATTATAATAATAACCTGGTTTTTAATTTTTTTATGAAATTATTTTGTGGTCGTAGGAAAAATATTGAACATCACTTGTGTGAAAAGTGATTTTCCACACTTATAATGTAATATACTATTTGTTTTTTGTTTAATTTTTCATATTTTTGACGCTAAATGATAATCTTTTTGTAAAAAGTTTTATTGTATATTTTTTAGAAGAGAAACAACCCAATATATGACAATGATTTGTGAAAATGATGATGTCAATAGGTATCTTCCACAAAACGCTACCTTTACCGATGACATCTACAAAAGATTGGACGAGGTAAAAATCTAATAAAATTAAAATACATCTCAATAGAATAGTTAATTTTTTCCCTTACAATTTGTAGTTTAGGAAAAAATATGGACAGAGGGCTAACGTTAAAAGATATGTTTTTCAGTGTGTCAGAGGGAGTTTTATTTACAGTTTTAGATTTAAAAAATGCGTATTTACAATTGCCAGTCAGTAAACAAAGTCAGGAATATTTAACAATTAATACTTCCTTGGGATTATTCCAATATTTCAGGTTACCCTATGGAGTCTCTATTTTTCAGTCAGTAATGGAAGAAATATTAAAGTTGACTTTTGTTGGGGTCTATTTAGATGATGTGATTATTTCTGGTAAAACCGAAGTAGAGGGTAAACGCAAAGTTAGTCTAGTGTTAGAACGATTTAATAACCACAACATTAAAATAAATTTAGAAAAATCGGTATTTTTTGAAAAAGAAAATGAGTTCTTGGGACATTCCCTCAGTAAAGAAGGTATTAGACCATTACCGGTAAAAGTACGTGAAATTGAAGAAGCTCCTATTCCAAAAAATTCAACTCAGTTAAAGTCTTACATGGGGTTAGGTACTTAATTTTTACGCAAAGTTTATACTAAGGTTATCAGAAGTGTGTCATCCGTTGAATGAGTTGTTAAAGGAAAACGTATCATTTGTTTGGTCACATAAGTAACTTATTTTAAAAATGTTTCAGGTTGGGATATTATGATCCAACTAAAGTGCTAATTGTAGCAGCTGATGCTTCACCTTATGGTCTTGGGGCCTTGTTGAGTCAAGTAATTGATGGTGAGGTGAAACCTATATTATGTGCATCATGTACACTAACACCTGCTGAAAGGAACTATGCACAAGTTCAGAGGGAGGCATTAGCAGTAATATTTGCTGTGCAAAAATTTCATATATACTTGTATGGGCGGAAGTTCTTTATTTTTTCTGATCATAAACCACTGAAGTCAATATTTGGTGAAAAGAACAAGTTGCCTACTTTCGTGTTTAGAGATGGCAGTAATTTTATTGGCATATGATGATGAGATCTGTTATAAGAAGGCAACCGATATGCCAAATGTAGATGCCCTATCATGGTTACCATCAAGGGAATTATTTCAAGAACAAGAAGAGCAAGTGTTTTCATTCACTTTGCCAATTTCTGCTGTGACTATTTTGGAGGAAACAAAAAAACATATTATATTAACTAAAGTAATAAATCTAATTAGACATGGGTGGTCCTTTTGTATAGAAGAGGAGCTTAAACCTTATTTTGTACGCAGACAAGAATTAAGCATTGAAAATGAGTGCCTTACATGGGGAAATTTGGTAATAGTACCAAGTTCCATTCGGCCTAATATTTTGTCCTTACTACATGAAAGACATCTAGGGATAGTCCGAATGAAATTGAGGGCCAAAAGAGATTTCTGGTGGCCCAAATTAAATGAAGACATTGATCCACAAGTGTGAAGCATGTCAAACTTATGCAGCAAAAGGAAGGGAAGTAAAGTTAGCACATTGGCCTAAATCAGATAAAAATTTTAATAGGGTACATTTAGATTTTTTAAAACTTAATCAAACAGAATTTTTACTCATTTTTGATACTACTTCCAAATGGTTGGAGATTTTTATTATGAATGGCACCAATGCCGATAAAACTATTGAAAAGTTACGTCATGTACTTTGCCTTTTTGGATTGCCGGAATTCCTTGTAGCAGATAACGGTCCACCTTTCAATAGTAAACAGTTTCATAAATTTTGTGTTTCTAATGGGATTCAGATCATTATTACGCCACCCTACCATCCAGAGTCAAATGTCAGTACAGAAAAATCGGTTTCCACAATTAAGAAAGCCTTAAAAAAAGCTATTTTGGAGGAAAGCATGAACAATAAGAGTAAAACAATGCAGCACAAATTGGATAACTTTTTATTTAATTACCGTAATACACCATCATCAACAAAAAAATCACCAGCTGACTTAATTTTCCGTCAGCTGTCTAGAACAAAAATAAACATGATAACATCCACATAATCTAAAAGGGGATAGAGAAAAAGGAAGGGAACAAAATATTGAGTTATGTTAATAAAGGTAGACGAGAAAACATCTTATATACAATAAGGCAAAGGGTTTTAGTCCACTTACCAGAGGAAAATAAATGGGTCAAGGGAGAAATAATCAAATCAATAGATATTAATTTATATCTAGTTTTGGTAAAGGGTAGAGTTAGGTGTATCCATTCCGATAATTTAAAAAAGTGATTGCTAGATGATAAGGACGTCGATAACATTGGAGGGGATAAATTGGTAACACAGTTGCCAGACCCATCCACAAAAAGCGTCGAGCCAAATATAGGGCAAAAGCCAACTACAATTGATATTCCTATAAATGAACCATCTGTTTCTATGTCCTTTACTCCTCCTAAAAGTTTGAGTAAACCGAATCTTAAGGAAAGAAATACACCAGACCCTCTTTCCATTCGACGATCTCAGAAGAGCGTTAAACCTCCAGTTAGATTGAATTTATAGAACCAACAAAAAAAAAGTTTTTTTTATTACATATTCGGGTCTTGTAATAATTTGTAATGTGTAAATGTTCAGGGTTAAATAAATGTTGAAGTATGTACAGTAGTTTAAATACACGATAGTTACTAAAGTAGCTCTGGGAAACAGTAACAAATCGTGCACTGACCACGAAGCTGATAACCTTAGTAGTTTATGCCGATGACACTGACACTATAATAATAAAATGATAAAACAATAAATTGAAATTACTTGTTAAAAGAAAGGATTGTTTCATCGTTTATAATCAATTCTTTAAAATACGGATCGACTAATACAGATATCGATATATCGGTCATATCGGCCTAAAATCTATTTAAATTTAATTTACGCCCGGTGTAAACAGAAGCAGGTGGACGCTAAAATTGAGCAGGGCCGTATTTTACTCTTCTGTCTTGCAAAAATGTAGAGTGTAATTGTGAAATTATTTTTTTATTACGATAAAAACATATTTTGTAAAGTAAAACTATAAAATAAATGCCATACACGGTCTCCCAGACTTTAGTGACATTTCTGGACGAAGATAGGTGAGCGACATAAACTGCGTTAACCTGCAATACAAATTAATAAATGTATTTGACTTTAAAAGAGATGGTTGCATTATATTTAGTTCATTACATATGTCTATTGTGATACAGAGCATTAAAACAATTATATTATAAAATTATATTGTACAGGGTGTCCAAATAATTGCAAATTCTTTAATAGCTAATATATATCTACTAAAAGCATTAAAAAAACTTTAAATATAAGAGGTATTTGGTATTTGAATTTGATATTTGATTTAAAATTGTGCATCTTAAAAAGAAACTTTTTGTATTTTTGATAACTTTTGTTCTTTATTGTTCTTGTTCTACTAGTATTTAGATTAGACAACTTATACCCTGTATTATAGCAATATTCCTTACTTGACTTGGCACTATTCTGAATCGGATAAATTAGGTAGACTTCAAAGGCTATCTTCATTAATCAAAATTACAAGTGGTTCTACATGAACCTCTATAATATTATCCAACTCCCACATTTTTACTTCAACTTTTTGGCGAACATGGTCGATACACTTTTTCCATTTTTCTGGAGAAATTAATAATATTACTTCTTCAAAAAGAATTTTAATGTCTCCAGATTTAAATGTTGAGTTTTTATCTGCTACGTATTGTTTAACGTCAACCTAGATTAATTCAATAGGGTTAAGTTCACAATGATACGGAGACATGTGAAGTATTATGTTGTTTTGCTGCTTAGCCATTTTATATATTACATACCTATCATAAGGTTTATGTTGCTTACCAAGTTTTAGAAGTTGGATCTTAAGCATTTGGTAGTCGAATTCAATTTTTTTCCCTTATAGCCATTTTTAAATATCACCTTTTTTAGACGTTGTAGATATTTTTTCCAGCTTTCTCGAATAATAATGCAGTTATCTTCTAATTTTGGTACGGTGTTTGAAAACCACTCTTTGAACGATTCTCCACAAATTTCTTCATGGTAGTCACCGGATTTTTCAACTCAAATACATAAAGTGCATTAGAGACAAAGCCTTGTTCACTTCCAATATGGCATATAATGAGCTGTTTTTACGCACATACCTGATGGGTTTTTAAAACCAGTTAAAAGTTCATCCAAAAAGGCTTGTCTGGATGAAAAAACCGACATATCGAAACATACTTTTGATTTGGTGTGGCCTGCGTTAATCCAAGTTTCATCAAGATAATATATTTTTTGCTTTTCTTCTCTGTACCGTTTTATTTTTTGTGGCATAGGACGAAACAATTTTATTTTTGTCTAAAAGCAAACTATTTTTTCCTCGAGTTTTAAATTTAAAATTAAGGGTTTTGAAAAGCTTGTAAAATGTAGCTCGCTTAAAAGTAGACAAATATGGATCATCGTTGACTTCTTATAAAACCTTATCAATTGTTGGAAGTTAATTTCTAAAGAAGAATTGATGTACTTTGCGCCTTATTAGATTTTTATCAAAATCATCCACAGAGCCACTAATTTGTTTATAACGTGGCTTTCTTTTTGCTTCAGAAAATTTATGAATCTGCCTATACTCCTTCATAACATTAAAAACGGTTTTAGCGCACATCCCTGTTTTATCAGCAACTCTCCTTTTAACATCATGTACCAACATATCAGGGTTCTATAAAATTTAATGCTTATAAATATTAAGAACCATTTCTTTAGTACGGATGACCAAATGTCCCTTTTTCAGTTGCTTTTTAGAAGGAGTAAAAACATATTTCTGGACATCTGCTGTATCTGCGGAGGACATAGTGTCACGCAGCAATTACAAAATATAGTCAATTAAATGTCCATAAAATAGAGCAAAACATGTTCAAACTAACATCCACGAAAACAAAAAAAATAATTAACACAATATACGTATATCTAAACTATAATATAATGAATTATAATCAATCAAACATACAAAATGTCCAAACTAACCAACAC